AATTTTAATATAGAGAGAAAATTTTAATTTTTACTATGTTTTATTTGTAAATTTAGTCTCTAGTTATTACTTTTGATTATTACTGTAAGTATAATATATTTAAATTTTAAATTAGAGTTATACTTATTTTTAAATATATTTTTTTGAATAATAAATATATAATATTCACAAAAAATATCATTTAATTTATATATATAATTATTTTTTAAAAATATATTTATTAAGTTTTCTTTTCTTTTTAATAATAAATATTATTTTATTTATTTTTTATTATTTTATTAATACTATAATTTTATTAAATTAAAAAATAATATTTATCTATATATAACTTAATAAAATTAAAAAAAATTTTAATATATATAAATATTATTTAAATTATAAAAATACTCAGATATACTTTTATAATAATATATTACTTTTTAAATAAATATAAATAAATTAAAAAAGTAAAAGCTTATTATATTTGAAAAGATTATTAGTCTTAAATAATTATAAAAAAAATTTACTTATATATAAAGCTAGCAAAAAATAATATAAATCACTATATGAAATAATTAATAATTTAGATCTTATTTATAATTTATTAATTATTATAAATATATTTATATATTATAATAAAAAAATCTTATATCTTAGAAATATATATATATATTTATATTAAATAATATAAAGAAAATAAATATAAATTAGTTTATTAATAATTCAGTTACTAATTCTAATATTAATTAATAAAATATAATATATACTTATTTTTAAATATATTTATTCTTAAAAAATCTATATTTAAAAATTATTTATATTTATTTTTAAAATACTTATTTTAAGACAAATATAATATTTTAAATTTTTTAATTTTTTTATTATTTTAAAATATTTTATTATAATTAATTAGTTAAAAAATATATATTAAAATATTTTTTATTATTTTCAAAATATTTTTTATTGATTTTTTAAATAAATTAATTCAGTATATTTATTTTTAAAAATAAAATTTTAATATAAAAAGAAAATTATTTTAAATTTGATATATTATAAAATAAAATCTTATTATTTAAAATTTTATCTTTATTAAAATTATCTTTTTAATATATTATAAATAAATCAAATATATTTATTTAATTATACTTTTTTTATAACATTAATTTTAATTCTATATAACTTATTTTACTAACTTAAATATTTTATCTTACTTTATTATTAATTTTAAATAAAATATATTATACTTAATTTCTTTAAATATTTATAATAATTTATTAATATTTAATAATAAATATTAATTCTGAACAACTCATTTATCTAACTAATGATAATTAATACAAAATCAGAATTTTTTATTTTTATTCTTGACAATTATAATAAATACAAATTATAAATCTTATAATTTTTTATTTTTTAAAAATAATAACTTTTTATAATATGATTTTAAAGTAATTGAATAATTATTTTTAAGAATATCTCATACTAAATTATTTTATTCTTTTTAATTTTGATATATTCATTAGTTCTTTATTCTATTTCAGTTATATTCTTGACAACCTGATTAGATTTTCAATTACTCTAAACTTTAAACAAATTTTTCAGTAGATATGATTTTTCTTGCTTGTTCAAGTCTCAAAGTACTTCTAATTTTCTAAGTAGTGATTATTCACTCTTGCATTCCTCATATCACTATCATAATGATAATATTGTTCAAAATTTTTGGAATCACTTTATTCAGATTTGTACTAACTCATTTTTTATTTGTGCGTAGCTTCTGCTCTAGATTAGAAAAATCCAATTCTTCTACATTGTAGAGCATGAACATGTATTTTGTAACCAATCAGATGAATTTGTTAGCTAATTGTTTTGTATTTAGATATAGAAAGTGCTGTGAACGCAGTATGATAAATGGAGCATTTGGGTCAAATGACTGTACCACTGATGAAATTTAGGTTAATTTTGGCTATATAATAGTGGTATAAAAGCTCACAAACAATGTTATCCCTTTTCTTCGTAAAAACATGGAAAATCCTACTTATTATCAAGTCTTGGAGGTTTCGCCAAGCGCCTCATACGATGAAATAAAGAAAGCATACAGAAGATTAGCACTGAGATACCATCCCGACAAGAACAAACAGATTAGCAATGAACTCGGAAGTAAAGCCATAAATAGCCGGTTTGTCCTCATCCATGAAGCTTACAGTACCCTAAGTAATCCAGAAAGTCGTAATCGATACGATATTCAACGTCGTCGTGGTGGCAGCGATTATGGTAGACAACGACATGAGTTTACTTCACAACAAGAGTTTGAAGAGTATCGTAAAATGCAACTTATTTATAAGCTGTATCGGGAGCTAATGGCGAATAAAGAACGTCTGACAGAGTTGTGGGCAACTTATACGAAATTTGCAGCACAATATGGATGGCTTCCGAATAATGATGACGAAGAGGTTAATAAACCTTTTATCTATGCATATGAGAAAGAGATAACTGAAATCATGTCAAGCATTCTTCTAGAGTCTGATGATTTATTTGTGGCTGGTGGCATAGATAATAGTCAAGATGATGTTGAGGATGATGTAACACTTAAATATATCCAAGAGGATGATATTATGCAAATCCTGGATACACCACATTGGATTCTAATTGACAAAGAGACCTTAATCACAAATTACCAAATGTGTGAATTCACTTTTTCACATCAGCTACTTCTGTTTGCTGTGACCAAGATTGTGTCTCCGTTAATGATGGCTGTGTAAGAATTTGAGGGATATGAGAATCGAGTTAATAATATCAACCAATCTGGGAATTAATTTTTTCTCTTTGGATTATTATCTATTATTTGTTATTGTTATTATTATTATTAGCTCATATGGCTCGTGGGGTAGTGAAGAAAGCGTCGTGGTATTGATGCTCGTAAAAAAGCTACAATTGAAAGTAATAGAATATTTGCAACAAATTAATCAACTATTAGAGGAACACGGGGAAACTGCGCTTCCACCTATCGTGGGAAAAGTCTCTATTTTATTTCCTATCATTTGTTGTTATATTATATATATATATATATATATATTAATTGAATTATATGTTAATGGGTTAATTTTTTTTCGAGTTTAGATCAAAGATGGACAACATATTATACGACAAGCCGAGATACTTTCAAAGCATCCCATCATAGCTAAGATGGATAAGGGGCGATTTGGGCAAAATACTCATCCTCTAATCGGAGCGGCCGCTCTCTTCGGACCACCAATTGCTGGATACTCTTTTTATTGGTAAACCTTTTTAAGAACCCATATGATAGTTGTATTGTTTGTATATCGGGATGTCTTATTCATGAAATATTTTACAGGTCAATTGTTGCGATTTCATTGGTGAGCGCGATTAGTGTGCGTTCTAATAAAGGAGATCTAGAGAGTTTTCGACAATTTCTCGAGTTATTTGATACTATAACCTCATTGTTGATGCGTAACTTAGAAGATAAGAAAACAAACGAACATTAGAATGGAAATTTACCATTATTATTCTCCTCCCTTAAAGTTTTGGCATTTATTTAACAATTGTTACCAATTTAACAGTTGTTGGACAGAGAAAGAAATTACCCAATAGAAATAAAGTGATAGTGATGGATGAGATATCAGTACCAAACAAAAATGTCTGATCTTAAACTGAAAACATTATTAATTATAAATTAGCCACCACCAAGGTGTTCTTTATTGGGAATGAAATAAAAAAAAACAATTGGATTTTATTTTTTGTGTTCTATGCTATAATTTTTTATTCTCCATGAGAAGAGAGCCAGCGATTTTCTATTCTTCAGAATAAATTGACGCTAGAGCAAGAAATTCAGTAATATTTTATAATATTAGCTCGCGTTGCTTATGCTTATCATCACCACCATCATCATTGTCATTGAGATTTCTACTGAAACTCTTGTAAATTCCCACAGCTTGACCATAAAATTTTTTATCTTTATCCGGGTCAAAGTTTGTCATTATCGAAGGAATTTCCCTAGAGCGAAGAAAAAAACGAAAGGTAAATACAAGATAACAGGAACTAAAGGTTCAAGATTAATTTGCTTCGCTTACTTCAATCTGACTTTTTCATCAAATCGCGAGAGTGAGAGCTGTGATGGACGCTTCAGATTAGCAAATGTGTTGTTGTCTCTCAGTGATGATGATTGTTGAGAATAAGAAGTGTGGTACATTGAAGGAGGGGTTCTCAAGAAAGATGGAGTAGTTAGATTACGCAAACCAATTGGAGAAAGATTATCAGATAGAAAGGAAGAGGATGACGCATTGGAGGAAGAGGTGTTTGATGTCGGTATGACTCGTGAAGAAGAAGACGGTGTTCTCTTTTTAGGTGTTGTTTGTGCTAAAATGGATTCTTTATAGAGTGCACTTGGTGTACGTATTAGCCTGCTGCTTGCACTTTCTGGAGTTATTGACTGGTAATGGTAATCAGCAAGAAAAATTTAGTGTGTTTACACATATACATGTATACATTTGAATGGAAAAACTTGTAAATATTTAATACCTGAAAAAAAGATTCTGTCTCGTCTTCTTCGATAAGCTTATCTCTAAAGCGCACAACCCTTTGTTTATCAGAGCCCTCGAAGGCTATCATTACATGGATTTAAGTCATAAATGAGCGGAGGAAATTGACGCCAATTTTCTATATATAAGGGATACCTTCTTCGGTGCTACTAATACCGCGTTCATGTGTAAATGACCATGGGTATTGACGCGGAATTACTTTAACACCAAAGGCTTCGGGTGAAGTTGGAGAAGTAATGAAAGAGCTTGGGTGATGATAGAAATCGTAGAGAGAATTCTCGATATTAGAACCCATTATATTTTATCGCGAGACAATTACGAGAGAGAGAATATGATGCTCAGATTCAAAAAAAAAAAAATAAATCCAATCCAAGCTTTTGATTGATTCGTCCGTTAAATTATATAATAATCACCATCATTTAAGTTTTTTTTCTTTCGACACAATTTTTTATTTACTTTGTCAAACTAGAAACCACAAGCATAACAACTTTTCAAATCGTGCAGCGCCAACAGCAGCAGCATTTCAAAACCGATCTGAAACATTGCAGATTCAACTTTTACAAACGATTACTCTATCTATTCAAAAAGTATTAAGCAAGCTAAAATGGCAGCAAGTAATACAATGAACTTTGGACCGGAGTGGTATGCGTTTTTTACTTGAACCGGTTGAATATCTCTTGTGGTATCTTCTTTTGGGGTGGGGAATTCATCAACTCATAAGTAGGAAAAAATACCCTCCTCCATAGCCCCATACATATATTTTCTTTCTATGTTTCCAATTCAGATTTTCCAAACTAAAAATAGCGAGAGCCAGCACTCACACACTCACAAATTACTATTCCCATATATCTATCATATATATATCTTCGGCTTTCAAACAATTACCGATAATAAAATGTCACGCCAAAAAGGATGAGGGGGTTTCCAAAAACTCCAACCACCGAGTCCTCTCGCAATTCTTCTACCACTACTACGAATACTACCAATACTAATGCAGCCCCACCTCTAAGTGGCTCATCCAACGTTATGGCCAACACGGCAAACTCTACGATTACTACGTCCAATATCACCACTACCAACACTGCCACAATAGGTACAACTAATCATATTAATCCAGGTGTAGTGAACAACAGCAACGCCAACGTTAATGGTGTTGCTTCTACTACAAATACATTTTCTTGGTCTTCGGTGGCCGCGGCAAACAGTAATAACATAGTTTCTAGTCGTGCCCTTCATAACGAACCGTCTGAAAAAACGGATGTGCCTGGTGGAGCCGAGTCAGCTCTAAGTCCTTTTAAATATTCAAAAGAGTTTATGCTGAAATTTTATAAGCCAGTAGGATTACCTCTGGAATTTGAACGTCATGAATATGTTACAAGTGACGAACCATTACCACCGATGGCATTGTTATCATATACAGAACAAGAACAGAAGGTATTTTTCTATCCCTGTCGATTTTTATTTAATTGATTTCAAGTGGTGATTCAAATTTTTTTTTCGAATTCGATCTTTCTGTAAAAAATCGGATTGTTTTGGTCTTTCTTAATTCGTAAATGCCATATTATTCGAATATATTATTTTGTTTGCTAATAAATTAAAATCGCAGCTGCTTTCAGGGCAATCAGTCAATAGCGATCTTACTCGTCGTATTGCATCGAATGTCAATGTTGCCACCGCAACTACAGCAAGCGAGCGTACAATAGACAGGGGACCATTTTCTCCAAGGGGAGATAAACCCTCTAGTACAGGATTAACATCCCCGAGGACCGAGCGTTTTGGTGGAATTATTGGAGGAGTGTTAAATCCACGAACTCAAAGAGGCAATTTTTTATGATCGCTAGATTTATCTGCATATGACGTTTTAAAAAATTGAATCATAAATTAATATCTACGATTTGTGAAATTTTAGAGAGAGTAGGAAGTGTCTCATCAGTATTACGACGAGATGGGGAAAAAGACGAGGATAATAAAGGTTGATTTTTATTTTGGATATGTCTCTTTATGGTTTGTTTGCAACCTGCCAATCAATACCCAATTATTTATTCTTATTATTCAGAGGCTCAAACGTCTCGTCCGAATCGCATACTTCGGACAGCAAGTCTCTCGATTCATCCTCCTACTTCGACGGATGATCTTATGTGGAACGGCGTGAATCGTCACGCTGTTGGCACATTTGATAGTCACGGGGTATTTAGGATCCCAGGTAGCAGCAATCACAGTAACACTGCTAATAGCGAGGCTTTACCTAACGGTAAACCGAAAGAGAGCACTAGCCGGAATGAATCGGTAAAAAAATTATATATTAATTAAAAAAATAAAGAAGAAAAATAATTTATAATCTTTCCCACGCTTGCAGAATGAACAAAATTCTTCGACTGAACCTCCTGAAATGCGCGCAGATGAAAAGTCTGATATAGACAAGGATGCGTTGCTGCAGGAAGAACCGGCCCCATTATATAACGGAAAATCCACTGAACATGGAAACGATTCTGAAATATCACCATCAGAACATTCTCAATCATCAGAAACAATCCAACCGGAGCCACCGGAACAAGAACATAAAAAAAAAGAGCAAGTGATAAATCAGCAGACTGAAAATGAACATTCCTCTTTGCTGAACAATCAACTTGAAAACGCTCAAGTGAGCGAATCTTCTAATCAGAGATTGGAGTTTATTTCTGAAACACAGAAATCGGCTTCACCTGATAAGGAAGAATTCAAGATATCATCGATTCTTGAAAAATCGCCATCATCAGAATTACAACCACGATCTAATCCTACTACACAATCACAAATGCAATCTCAATCACCTCAAGCTACTCAATCCCAACCATCTCAATCGCAACAGTCTTTCCCTCAGCCACAACCTCAATCTCAACACCAAAATCATCATATTCAGCAACAGCAATTGTTGCTTCAGCAGCAGCAAAATATATTGATACAGCAACAACAACAGCAAGCACTTTTACAACAGCATCAACCTCATCAGCAGCAATTGCTACAAGAACAACAACAATTCGTTCATCAACAACAGCAGCATCAACCAAGTCAACATTCGCAACATCATCATCACCATCATCAAAAACAGCATATAATACAACAACAATTATTGCTTCCACCTCGCTCTCCTATCGCTGCACAATCGTTTGATTCTGATCAAGATGATGATGTGCTAAAGGCTGCATTTGCATATTCTGGTCTTGAAGGCACAACGCCACCACTGACTCCAAGTGTCTTGCCATCAAAATATTCTGCTATAAATAGTGCTTTCGCAGACACATCCACCGGAAGCAATAGCTTGTTTAGTAATATTGATTCGAGAAAATCATCATCCGAATCTGAGTGGCTTTATCGAGATCCCGCGGGTAAAATACAAGGTAAAAACTTAAAGAATGAAATCAGCTGACTATTCATCCAATATTAATAATTAAGTATGATAATAAATAAATAGGTCCATTCAGTAGTCAAGAAATGAATGATTGGTTTAAAGGAGGATTTTTTACAGGCTCTCTTATGGTGAAGAGAGTAGATGATCCTTCTTTTGAACCGTTGGCAAATTTAATTCGAAAAACTGGTGATGAAGATAAACCATTTTCAGCGCCTTTATTAAGTGGAAGGCCGCCACTGACAATTGCAATGCCACCTAATACTTCGGGACGCTTAGTTAATGATCCATTCCAAAGAAGTGGTTGGGGTGCACCAAGTTCACCAAGTACTGCACAATTATTCTTAGATCAACAACGATTCAATCCGTTTGGAGGCACAACATCAGTTCCTACTACTCCATTTGATCGATATCAATTTGGAAGTGTATTTGGTAATAGAACTGGTGAGATTAGCAATGGATGGAATGATTTAAATACCACCACCACTAACAATAGTAATAGTACATGGGCTGCGTCAGAAACTTTTACCTCAAGTGCGGGCAATTTATCTCCTCGGCAAAATCCCAGTTCACCTTTATTTAATAGTAATAGCGCTTTTGGGCTCCCACAGACTCATAATTACATGGAACATCAACGTGCACTTAATTCACAAATCGAACGTCAACAACAACAATATTATTCCTTAATGCAACAGAGACAACAGCAACAGCAGCAGCAGCAACAACAGCAACAGCAACATCAACAACAGCAGCAGCAACAGCAGCAACAACAACATAATATCTTTCCTGATACATTATTTCGTCAAGGATTCGGTACCATTTCTGGTCCAATTTCAGCCCCGATATCTAATGCTCCGACCGCTCTTATTGACGTTATATCACGTGCTGCTGCGCCATGGACTGCCACGAATGAACAGCAAACACCTTCTTCTCCATGGAATCCGATTGTTACTCCAAACGTAGCCCCTACTTCTTCACGAGTGACAACAACACAACATGAAGAAGTAGGTTACTTCGGGTTGAGAAAGGATCACAATTTTGGACTTAATACTCAACCAATTCAATTTGAAACATCGACACTTCTTCAATCTAATGAAGCACAACAGTTTGGGATCAGTGGCGCACAAACACATGATTCTGAGTTGGAGATCAAGGTAAATAAGACTGCTGAAGAAATTGCGAAAGTTGTTCTTTCTGACGAGGAGCCTAGCACAAATAAACATACTAAAGAGCCAATGGTGGAAGAAAAGAAACAAACAACTGCTGATGAGCCAATTAATACGAATAAGACCGATATTGTACAAGGAGCTCCGGTAATCTCAAAAAAAGAAGAACCTAACAAGTCTCGACCTTCTTTACGAGAAATTCAGGCTGATGAGGAAAGGAAGAAACAACAGGAAGAGAGAGAAAAAGCAATGAACAATAATATTGCTGCCGCTGCTGCCGCTGCTACCGCTGCTACCGCTGCTACCACTACTAACGCGACTTCCTCGGGGAATCTTTCGAAATCTTCATCGTCTCAAAAATCGACCAATTTGGCATGGGGAGGTACTCCCACTGGTAATTCATCTTCTCCGTGGGCTACCAAAGATGATGAAAATGGATCTCACAAGACTCCATCTCTTCGAGAAATTCAAGAAATGGAAGCTCGTAAAGCTGCAGAGCGAAAGGCTGTTGAACGAACTAACACTGCTAATTTTGCTCAAAATGCTGCTGTCTCTCATACTACAAAAGAAGACATTGCGACAATTAATACCTCGTGGGGTATGATGCTACCCAATTCATCGACGACTACTAATACCACAACCGCAGCATCCAATTCTTCTTCACTTTCATCTTCACCAATTGTTACTGCTGCTCCGGCTTGGCATTCAAATAACATTGGACCGAAGAAAACATTGAGGGAAATTCAGAAAGAGGAGGAAGAAGCAATGAAAAAACGTCATAGGATGAGAGAAATGCAACAACAGGCATCGTTGAATGCTGCCGCTGCGGGAAGTTCCACTGCTTCGAGTGGTTTGGGAAAACGTTACGCCGACACCGTAGTCGCGGGTGGTGTCACCGTTGCTGGAGTGAAGGTTGTTTATAATAAGATTATTATTACTATTGACGATATAAGAAATAAAGATACTTATTTCCGTTTTCCTATTCAAAACTAGAAGCCTGCATCACAACCAGCAGTTGGTTCAGCTTGGACTATTGTCGCCGCTGGTAAACCGGGTGCTGCCTCGCGTGTTGGTGCTGGTACAAATCCACCACTTAATGTCAATTCGAATACAAATATTGCAACTTCTAATGTATCAAAATTAGGTAATCCATCTAAAGAATCATCTTTTGCTTGGGATGTAGATTCCATTAAAAATATTAACAGTTTACAAAATGCCCAAAGGTTAGTGTCATTAGGTTAAAAATTCATTTTCGCAGTAATTTTTATATTGAAAATTAAGATTAGATTAAATTCTGTTAGAACACAAATCCAAACTGGTAAAACGAATGAATTATCTAAAAATTCGACTCGAAACACGGGTAAATATTCGATCGAACACGAATCTTCTGTTGATAGTAGTAGCAATTTTTAACTTGACATTCTATTTAGATCAAAATGCTCCTCGCCCTCCTTCCGAAGAATTCCTGAAATGGTGCCGTAATATCTTGCGCCCTTTGAATAGTAACATAAATGGTATGTGTTGGCAAATAATTTTAACTTACTTTAGGATAAATAATTCATTTTTCTTTAAATAGTTGACGATTTTATCCAAATGCTCCTCACGTTTCCATTGGAGCCGCCACCGATCACCATCGAGATCATCCAAGAATCTATCTATGAATATTCGACCAGTTTGGATGGACGTCGTTTCGCCGACGAGTTTGTAAAGAGACGAAAGGCTGACGCTGCCGGTGTTTCAATGAGTAACTTTTCAAGTTATCATGGAGAAGGAAAACCAGGAAAAGAAGTGGGAACAAATAATTCTGTTGTTGGTGGAAAAGAGGATACGAGCAGTAGCACAAACGCATTTAAGGTTGTGACCGCAAAAAAGGGCAAAAAGAAACATTAATCGGACTATTTGCCACGCCTCATTTGCTCATGTTTTAAATTTCATGTTTAAGTATTGGTTTTAAAGATAGTTGATGATATTGTGCTCATTAATAGTAATCAAGAGATAAAAATAAAAAAATGAATTGAATTTCAAATAAGAATTTTTTTGCTGACAATATATAATTGGGTATTTTGCATGTATTAACAAATTCTATTGATTTTTACAAAAAAAGCGAGAAATACATAACAGTATTGTTAAATTACTCAAGTTCAGTCCCCACCAAAGTTAGATGTAAACGTGCGGCATAATTTGAAGCAGCACCACGTGTTGAGCTAATAATTTGTTGGCCACTCGCGACGACATTTAAATCAACCAACGGTAATAAATATTGAGAAAGTGTCGAATTGTCAGATGGATTTCGAATAGAGTCGATTGGATTCAATTGGTCACTGAAATTACCAATAAAAAAGACACACGGAAATATCGAGAAAATCTCTTTAAATGCTTCTTGTGAAAGTGATGAATTTAAACGTGATGCATCCGTAGCAATGTAAATAATAGGCATGTCATTTTGTGTAGGTTTAGCTTTCGACTGACATTCAGCTACAAGACCAGATGCTTGAAGACCTCGACCCGCCGCAAAACTACGTCGTCGCTCAATCGGTGTTTCAAGAGTATTTGGATCTTCCTCGGAGTCGTCTAAATTATCTTCAAGATCATCTTGGTTATTTGTGTTATCCGTATTATTTGTGTCATTGGCCGCCGCCTCGTCTAATTTTATGTCAGATTTCATTTCTGGAGCATATTCATCGATGAGTTGTTTTGTGATATTATTTATCGTGGAAATAGTGTTGTTATTTAAAGTTTTGCCATCTCCGATTTTCAAATAAATACCCACAAAGCTCCCTAATCCACCCAACTCATCCACTATCTTTTCCACCACCCCTAGCATTACCGGATTGCCAATAATCATATGCTTTCGAACTTGGTCAAAGAAACTTCTATTTTCCGATAACTCTGTAACAATTCTCTGCGAGCTAAAAATACTCCCGAAATACATGAGCTTCTCCCGTCGTAATTTAAGATCAGAGAGGAGCAATTTATTTTGAAATCTCTGCTGACTTAAGTTCGCATTCGGATTATCAAAAATCTCAAAGTCGTATAGTGTCTTATCCGGTTGCACGTAAACTTGTTTCGTATCTGTCACGTTAACCATTCGAAACAGAGTGGATTGATTGAAGTCGCTTCGTTGCACTGTACGAGCAAACTCTTTGGCGAAAGAGAGATCCATCACTTGATCCCATTTCACCAACGTACGGAAACTTCTATTGCGTTTCACCTCGCAAGCTTCTTTCTTATTGGCAACAGTTTCATTACTACAATCGGGTAAAACTTCTTTACCTATTAGACTCAACCTATTAGCAAGCAAAGAAAATGTCTGATAAGGAATTTTAGCACCGAAAATAATGGGCGGAATCACCAATGTTCTGTTTGTTGCCCACGCGAGAAATATCGCATTCTCGAGCGAAATGCGTTGGTTATGAAACCCACTATGTGGTAAATATGTTAAGAACTTTTCTTGGTACTCTTCTTCGATACTGGAGTAGTTTACTTGCGGACCCGAGTAGATAGTCAAGTCTTCGAAGCTTGTGTTATTTAAAGTCGCATTGCCCGCGGTTTTGTCGAGTATTTTGTCCACGTATCCAGTGACAGGTTCATAGCTATATGATATTAGAAAAAAGAGACCCAGTGATGTCAAGATTATTAGAGGGAGGAGAATTTTTGGTTTCGGGATAGCGCAAAATAAACAACGCATCTTGCAAAGTAGTGGTGAAAAGTCGGTTACTTATAATGCGTAGCAAAGCAAAATCTCATTTAAATTCCGCTTTAAAAAATTTGGGGGAGGTGAACTTTATTTTTTGGGGTTTACATTTAAACCTTTCACATGACAGATGATTGTCATTATAACCGCTAATTAAAAAAAGCTGATCAGCTTTTACCCGATATCGATTAGATGACTTTCTGGGAAAAAAGCTACCATCACGTGGTTTTTAAGGGAAATCGCGTACTAGAGCAAAAATCACCATCGGTAATATATCATATTTGTTGAAATTTTATCCTTTGTAATCGTTGTTGGTTTTTGTTGTTTGTATTATAAGGACGGAATTTAAAATTGTTGAGTAAATATCACTTGATTTCAAGTGTTTGGATGAAAATATCTCCCTCCCCCCATTCAAACAGGATAAAATACAAGTATTAGTGCATTGCGACACTTTGATTTTCGTGTCGGAGATATTTTCGAGGGAAATACAAGATGTATAGAATAATGTAGCTTTTTTAAATTGCTAAACAGATTTAGACGAATCATTGTAATTCAACTTACGAGCTAAAACGTATTACTTTGCAAAATAAAGAATTTGCAATTTAAAATTCACTATTTTTAGATAGTAAATTCCCGGAAGCAAAGCTCTCGTGCTTGAACGATCCGCTTTGGGAATTTTCTATCTGGGCAAGCATAATAACATTCGCTCGCATTCCTGCATACAGTTCGGATAACTCTAGATTTCCATTAATCTTTTATAAAAGCAAAGAACGCGGCATGTAATCTCAAGATAAGATTCGTTGGTTATGGGGACAAAAAAAGGATGGATCAAATATCGTGCATTTTTCATATGGTTATGTCTTTTTTTGATTGAAGACCCAGGAAATACTTGTTTTTTTTGGATCTTGGGCGAGGACGAAACCGGGGACAATGGTTTATATTATACATAGACTAATTGACTTACGTGTATTAATTAATTAATTAATTAATTTATTTACTTTTAATGTGGTAATCGATTTATTTGACATTACGAAATTTTCTGTAAAAAAGGCTGAATGTCCCTTTTGTCGCATTTTACTGTAAAAGTAAAGAAATGTCTATTTTTACGTTTTATATGTATTTATATAAAGGAGTATTTTTGACCAAAGCATCCAAATGGGGTTTGTATGATAGTATGCCGATCATACATATATCAAATCCGCGTCATAATATAAATACGAATAAACTTAAAAATTTCATTTAATAATAAATATATCCAAATATATATTTTATATCAACCAAGAATTCAACAAATCACACGCACATTAGCTTAATGGAATCTCGAATTCTAGCAACTACTCGTCGACGTCCCCGCCGCACTTCCGTAGATGCCATAAACAATGCGAGCAGTTCGCGCCAAATTAATACACCTCAACCCCAACTTACTAATACTTTTGTTGCCACACCGCAGAAACGCCCTTATGATGTCATTGATTTAACAAATGACGACGACGAAAAAGATCAGGAGAATAACTTTATCGAGAATAAAACTCTGGTGACGTCTGCTCTATCGTCCTTTAATGATTCGGCTATGACTGTTATACATACCGAACCAACGCCAACATCAGTAATGGCCACAGAGATTAATAATAATAACAATAATACTTCTCATCGAGAGTGTCCTCTCTGTACTTTTCATAATTATCCCGAGCTTATAGAATGCGAATTATGTGGCGCTAGTCTCATAACAGACTCTGATGTGTCTAATGATGCGCAACTTCAACAATTGCAAATGATCGAAAACGATCATGCCTTTGCCCTTCAATTACAGCGGGAATTAGGATGGGGGCCAAGGCGTGACGATAATATGGACGATGAAGATGAGGATGAAGATTTCTCGGAATCGGATGAAGAGATGTTAGTCACGGTTCCCAGTGATGAAGAGTCTGGGGACGATTCTTCGGATGAAGAACAAGAAAATATAGAACTACAACCAAGTAGACTACAACCTGTCGCCCCCGTACGTTTAAGAAACACAGAACCAGCACGGCCACCGATAGCCGCTGGACTTTGTGAAATTTGCAGGGAAAATTATACTCGTTTAGTATGTGAATTTTTTAATACATATTCGTTTCACGTGACCTTTTTAATGTTAGCATTATAAATAAATTTATTAAGGAATATGGCTCTGATTTATGTCCGGATGCATTCTGCGTGGAATGTTGGCACACATATCTCAGCATGAAACTTAAAGAACACAAATTTCCATGTCGATGCCCAGCCCCAAGGTGTCGATCTGTGGTCAATCCAGATAATGCATCAAGGCTATTTCGTTTGCAACCAACAAACCCAATTGCTAGTACTAGTTTGGAAAATACAGTGAATGTGCTCGGCAGTAAATCAGAAATTGAAATTTTGATACAAAAATTCAAACGATTGCATGATGAAGCTATCATGCAAAACAGTAAATATTTGAACAATTGGTCTCCTCAAATATCATTAATTCCTTTGTTTAGCATCTATACTTGCTTATTATTCCCTTTCCATCAATAGAAATTTATTGTCCAGTTCGAACTTGTTCTCGAGCATTGCAATATGACCCAAAAGTCGCAAGATCCAGTCGAATTTATTGTCCCGGACCAGAAGATCTAGCAACAATCTTGGGTGACAACAATAAAATTGACAATGACAATAACAATGACAATGACAATAACAATAACAATAAAAATCACAATACCAGTACCAGTACCATTAACAATAATAATAATAACAACAACAACAACAACAACAACAACAATAACAACAACAACAATAATAATAATAACACGAATATTGCAAGTAATAGCAGGAGTAATAACAGTAATACTAATTCTGCTGTGCCTGTTGTTGCGCCTGTTGTTATAGATCTTGAACGTGGTCATTGGATTTGTGCAAATTGTATGGTACCGTATCACCATGGATTAGCTTGTAGGGGATTTCAGGATATCGAACGCGCGAAAGGTAGTGCCAACACATTAGAAGAACAGCAAACATTGACTGCAATTCGAAATCAAAAAATGCAAAAATGTCCAAATTGTGGTTTCTGGGTAGCGAAAAGGAATGGATGCAATCATATCGCTTGCTTTGTAAATAAATGTTTTATTCTATCACTATGCTGGTTCTTTGATCCTTTCTATCATCATTAATCATCAATCTCATTTAGTGCGGGGAAGACTTTTGTTATCGATGCGGTAGAAGTTATAATAAAAAACCAAAATGCAGGGGTGACCATTGATCGAGCAGTTGATCGATTGTCTCGAAAATCGATAGAGCAGTTTTGATGGAGAATTTATTTTATTAAAAATGCGAAAAGCTTGGTTGTATTTTATATTGCTGCTAGTCACAATAAATTTGTATACGTAATTTTTTATTTGTTACCTACCATTTTATAAATAAAAGTGAGATAAAGGAAATGATGAGCAAAATCTGTGTGACATTTTTTGATTTATCAATCAGTTATAGTCATCAGAGATCCGAAATTTTGTTCTCGAGAACTCGAATATGTCAACCGATATCGCCGCACCCGCACCTGCTGTTATTGCAACAACTAACGCTGAACATCACGAAGCGACCGTTGCTGAACAAAAACAGACTACATCTGGACTAAAGTCTTTTATATCCGGCGGGTTTGGCGGGGTGGCGGCGGTACTTGTTGGTAGGTTGCATAGAAGTTATTTGATGTATTCGGGATAATTCAAGAAAAGGATCGAAATACTATCATTGGAATCTTTGTACTAATAAAGGCATTCATCATATGGGTCAAACAAATTAAGGTCATCCATTTGATCTAATTAAGGTATAATTTTAAACTTTAATTCGAATTCCAAAAAAAAAAAGATACTCAATAACCTTTTATTCCTATTTAAGGTACGATTGCAAACAGCCCCAGCAGGCACGTACACTGGTATTCTAGATGTGACAAAACAGACTATTGCAAAAGATGGGCTTCGAGGGTACGTGTTTAAAAATTTTGGTGTTAATGAGGGATTCGGCGAGGCGGTATACTTAAATATGAAAGTGCGTATGAACAGGTTATACAGAGGTATGGGTCCGCCATTAGTGGGGGTTACACCCGTTTTCGCCGTGAGTTTTTGGGTAAGTTCTCAATTTTTGTTGTAATACACCTCAACTTATGATGATAGATGACAATTTATCTGATTTAATTTGATCAGTCCTATGATCTAGGAAAGAAGTTAGTATACGCCGTAACACCAAATCGTACGTCTCAAACGTTAAATCTCGGAGAAATTATGGCTGCCGGTTTTTTCTCAGCCGGCCCAACAACTCTCCTAATGGGTCCGTTGGAACGAATTAAAGTCTTGCTACAAGTACAAGGTCAAGGGGGCGAAGCGAAATACAAAGGACCTATTGATGCCGTAAGACAATTATACAAAGAAGGTGGAATAAGGAGCATCTTTAGAGGATCGGCTGCCACTTTCTTACGTGATGGCCCAGGGTCTGCTGCTTATTTTGGGGTTTATGAGTTGACGAAACGTTTACTGACGCCGAAAGGATCAACTCCTGATCAATTGAATCCTGGCGCAGTACTTTTTGCAGGAGGTAAGTAATGTCTTGGTTTTTGGTTCTTGACTTTATTGACACCCGAGTATTATATTGAGGTTCATTTTCTTTTTTTTATCTTAATTTCCAGGAATGGCTGGTATGTTGGTTTTTTTGATATTTTTTTTTATTAAATTATTGATCTGATTGATTTCCGATTTATTTAATAAACTATCTATCAAAATTTCAGGGTAAGAATAATTTCATTGTTATAAATCATAAATCTACATAATCATACTAATAATGATCAATTATTGAAAAGTATGGGAATGTGGGCGATAGCGATTCCACCCGACGTCTTAAAATCACGACTTCAATCAGCTCCGACCGGTACATATTCTGGTACTCTTGACGTTTTACGTCACCTACTAAAAACAGATGGACCTGGTGCATTATTCAAAGGTCTTGGGCCAGCTATGTTACGTGCGTTCCCAGCAAATGCTGCATGTTTCTTGGGGGTCGAATATAGTTTGAAGGCGATGAATTATTTATGGTGATTCCTTTTTAGATTGATTGGGGGGGGGAAGAAGTAGAAGGGTAATGATGATGATGTTTGTTTATTTGTGGATTGTATTTAGAGTCATTTTTATTAGAATTGTTAAATAATAGTTTAAAGGATCATGATTTCATGCATTCTATTATTATAAGGTCCATTATTGTCAATAATTTATATAACAAATAAATAATTTCATAGATCAGAAAATGCAAAATAACCGTTATTCCCCAAAATAAATAAAATGTGACGTAAAATCCAATTGCCCAAAATGGTCAGTAGTTGTACATACAAACACTTTATATAACAACACATCTCCGCCCACACTAAAAAATGATATCCTCATCATCCGCATCTCCTAGAATATCAACAGTTCTGCCTATAAAATATTTAGTAACAAGAAAGTTTAACATCTAAAAATGAGTGCTAACCAAGTAATCTAAAAAAACGATCCTACCCGTGCCATCACCATCGTCATCCTGTTCCAGAGCTTCTAGATCCTCCTTTTCTTTATCCGCGATAGCTTGATCTTTTTTCTTTTTTCCTTGCACTTTTTTTAATCTAATTGAATTGAAATTAGCTTAGAAATTTCTCTTAATTTGTATCGAAATCGGGCCACTTAAATCATATCGCTTCACGGATGCTGCCCATTAAATAAAGTCATCAATGGATCATATATAGTATGTAAATTCAAACATTTACCTAAAGAACTCTTCACGATCCTGTTCATCCAATTCTGAAATGATGTACTTTATTGTGTTCTCTATTCTTGGAATAATCACATGCTCGATTGCATTTACACGTCGATTTGTCACTTTGATCACTTCGTCCAAAATTACGAAATCTGCCTTTGATCGATAAATATAAAGGATCAGACGAGATTGAATAATAATAATATTTTCAATGGTAAAATTGTGTAGATAATTAATTACCTGTAATGAAGCTATCTTTACTAACATTTCAACGACAGCTTTGATAAAATTTTCTTTGCATTTTTGAACTTGTTGACCTCCACGACCAAGACCAGTTAATTCAAAGGCTATATATTTTTTATCCAAAATAAAGAAATATAAAATATATTATAAATGAATCAGGATGATGCTAATAAAAATAATAATAATAATAATAATAATAATCAAATCTAAGAACCATTTCCGCCCTCCATATAACTCTCAAATACTGGCAACATGACACCAGACACGTTTTCCTGTTTTGTACGCACGCGTAATTGTGCATTTTTCGCATTCTCCTGAACCGGATAACTTTTTTTATTGATTGCAAAGATTAGGAGACAAGATCATGTGGAGATTGCATAAAATTCAATACTACATTCTTTAATCTTTTTTTTACCTGATATCGCCAGCAATATAATTAACCTCAGCGAGGGAAAAAAATGCAGTTTGCATCATTTTTCCCATTTCTCTCTTTGCCTGTGTTAATTTTAAGCAGAAAGAATTATCATGAGAACAAAAAATTATTCGATCTTTCTCTTTTTCGTGAATCCGAAGGCTAGTTATTAAAGCTATTTATGTTAAATCGGCTTAATTATCACCTAAACGTATCGAAATTTCCGAAAACGGGCATCCTTAAACCTTTACCTCGGCAATTTTTTGCACTATATCTCGGAATCGTTTTGTAAGCGCCTCACTCTTACGTTTTAATAGACTATGACCGGTTTGTGCGCCTTTCAATTTCGACTTCATGGTGGTCAACGCCCTTCATTTTATCAAGTCAACCAGTTTACCATTAATTTTATCGAAATGACTTTTGTTCTTTCCATGAGAAAATTCAACAGAACAATATGCATGTTAAACTTACATGCGCGTAGGAAATATACTAATTCTAGGTCCTGCACCCGACATTTTTTAACAGTATTAATTAGGTTTCTCGATTATAGTTAACGTTAAGGATTAAAAAGGATTAAAGACCAAATCTAGTACTTTTTGATAATCTATCATCTAATAAAAATGACGTTTTTATGCAGGTTTGACTTATATAATCAAAATTATTTTGAGTCATAACATTTTAAAACATTACCTTTTGCTTTTTTAAAAAATTTAAAAATGTCATTATGTTCTGAGAAATTAACACTTTGGATTTTTATCGAAGGCAGCTCGAGATTTAAGAAATTCCCTGTCGAATGGAATGATTCACCACCAGACTTGGACGATCTTGCAAGTAGACTTTGTGAAAAAGAAGATATTTTAAACCAGGTTCACTTGATTTCTATAACCACGATGACAGAATCAACCCTCTCCGAATAGGGTACTCTTCTCACAAATTTGTACCCATTCTCTGACTCTGAAGGTAAAATAAATAATTTTCTCTTTTTCATATCTATACATCCATATGTTTACATCCGTATATTGTTGGTGGTCGTAGTTCGTTGCCAACTATCTACATCTTGGTTCAGGAGCAGATTTCAACACACAAATGGCCTTTGGTATCTTCTATGTCATGCAGCTGAAAAAAAGTTTTTTGAGTCTTTGAGAACGGGCAATCCTTCGTATTATTTTGTTTATAGCGAAGTGAAAAAGAAAATTAATGAGGAACAGGTCGATGATGATTTTGCACTCAATAAAATAATAGAGGAAGTTCAACCAGATGAACGTGGAAAACGTGAAATCGGTCTTAAAATTCGAATCCCAGTTGATTATTTTTGGATTAATACAGAATCGAAGTGAATATTTATTTGTTTTGTTTTATTTATAGGAAAGCAGGCATATGGCGAATGGGAAATAGGTGAAGTTCTCGAGAAGATTCTGCATAAGAGTGCAAGAACCATATATGACATCAATCAGTTTGACATAAGTAATGCTTTCTTATTCCGGATTATTTATCTGGGCAATTTATAATCTACATGTATTTTTTTAAGCAGAGAAAATTCCGCCAGATCCAGAGATTTCTGTTGGTATAATTGATTCCTTTATCAGTGAACCTGAAAGAAAGAAAAAGACCTTTACTCATGTTAGACCTGTCGAGAGTTTATTTCTGCTTTTATGACTACAGCTGTTGAACATGTCCAGTCAAAGGAAAGTAAGCTTTATCTCAAGAGTGAAGAATGGCTTGATGGAAGTCGTGGTTTTGGTCCTGTCAACTATTCTGTATATCTTGAGGAATTTGTTTTATTGGTCTGTGAAGCTAAAAAAGAGAATTTTGAGAAAGGTGCTGCCCAGAACATTGTGCAAATGCATAGTTCTGTGGCGGTAAATGAAAATATTATACATAACCTATTCTGCTTTTTATTATTTGCTTATTGACATCGAACAAGTAAAAAAATAAACAGAAAACGAAAGATAGATAAAATAGAAACAGAATCTCAAGTTTGAATATATGGTATTGTAATAAATGCACTAGGATGGTTTTTTCTTCAATGGATTGGATCCCCCGAAATATTCTCAATTAGAAGTATCTGGACCTCACATGTGTGATTTTGGCAATTTTGGCCGTGATGAAATGATAAAAGATGCAAAGAAAATAGCTAATTACATTGCCTTCAGTTTACAAATGCAAATTAGTGATCTGGATAGCAATAAAAAACTTCATCTGTAAGTGTATTCAATTCATTTTATTTTATTGTTCTATTGCATATGTTTTTTTTATAATATTTATAGGAAATCATAAGAAACAATTAAAAGTACAAAAGAAATGATTAAATGATTAAATATTTTTTTATCTAATCAAAAACATACAACTTTATATTTTCTATATAACATTTTTTTGCATACTTTATAAAAGAGATTACATGACAAATAAATACAAAAAATTTATTACAAATCTTTATAATTAATATTTATAAATATTTATATATTTTTATAAAATTTTTTAATTAAATTAAAATTATTATTATATTTAAATTTGATATATTCTGAAATTATAAAATTTTAATTAATATTTTTATAATAATTGCAAATTATTAAATATAAATAAAATAAAATTTTTATTTTATTTATTAATATTATTATTTTAAATATTTCTTAATTTTATTAAAAATTATTATTTAAATCTTTATTAATTATTTTTTTATCAAAAATATAATTAATTATTCTAATTTTATTTTGAATATCAAATAAATAAACTTTAAATAAATTAAAATAATAAATTTTATTTATTTATTAATTTAAATATAATATATAAATTATATATAATAATATTAATATTTTATTTTTAAATAATTTTTTTTATTTTTTAACTAATTTAATAAGATATTTTTTAAATCTTTTAAATAATTTTTTAATTTTTTTCTTCTTATAAATATAATAAATAATTATTATAATAATATTTTTTTATATAATAATATTATTAATTAGAATATTATTTAAATTAATTTAATATATAATAATTATCTATATATTTAATAAAATTAATTTTTATAAAAAGTAAAAAATATCATAAAATAAAAATTTAAATTAAAAAAATATAACTTAATTAAAATTATTACATATCTTTTTACTTAAAATATAATATTCTTATTATATTATGATCAAAAATCTATAATAATAAAAAATGTTTAAATAAGTTCATGAAACTAATGCAGACTTTAATTTTAGATATTCTAAAAAAAAAATAGTTCTTATTTAATTTTATCAAACTATTATAATTGATTTTTATTTGATAATTAAAATTCTTATAGAAATAATTTATCAAATAATATTTTAATTATTCTTTAATAAAAAAAAGAATCAAAGTTAAAAAAGAAATAATTAATACTAAATATACTAAAAATATTAGTTTTCTTATATAATAATTTAGATAAATTTTATAAAATTTAATTTAATAAATAAATTATCCAAGTAATCTTTTTATAATTTATTCTAATTAATAAAATATATTCTATAAATATTAAAAATGAATTAGAAGAATTATTTCATAAAATTCAAGAATTTAGATCTATTAGAAAGAATAAAATAAAAATATATTTTTTAAATAAAAAAGAAATTAAAATAAAAAAAATTAACTATTAAATAATAAAATATTCTATATAATTTATTACAAACTTATAAAGATATTTTTATATCAAATTTAAATAAATTTGAATAAATTAATATTATTTAATATTTAATTAATACTAAAAATAAAAAATTTATTTATTAAAAAGTTTATAGAATAACTCTTTTTAATCAAGAATTTATTTATAATAAAATTTAATGAATATTAAATACAAATATTATTTAAAAATCTAATAATTTCTGAATTTTATCTATTATAATTATTATAAAAATTTTAATTAGATTATCTCTCTTTAGATTTCTTTTAGTTTAGATCTTTATTTTATGCTATTTTAGCTTTGTATTATATTTCTAAGAAGATTAATTTCATATTAAATATATAGATGATTATTATGTATTTAATATATTAGATTTAGCATATTATTATACAAATAATTATTATATATACCTATATTATTAATTTAGATTATTAATATTTTTAATTAATTATTTCTTTTTATAATTCTTTATATTTTTACTCATTCTTTTTATTATTTATTTATATTATTATTTATCATTATTTATAATTATTATTACTTATTAAATTATAATTAGTTACCCTCTGAAGATTTAAATTAAGTTAATTAATTTTATTTAATCCATATATATTTATTATTAATTTATTCATATTTCATATTTATTTTATTTCTTATAAATAAAACCTTTTTGTTTTGTAAATTAACTTTAAATCTGAATACTTTTAAATAATAAAAATAATTATAAGTTATAAAATTAAAACTATTCATATCATATTTTATCTTATTTACAGAATAATTTTATAACTTAATAGTAGTAAATACAGTTATTATAAATATTACTCTCTAATATCTTACATATCACATACTATATACTTTATACATATATATTTTAGTTTTAATAAAATAATATTATCAAAATAAACTCAGAACAATTCACATAATTCATGACAAGTATAATTGAATTGATTAAAATAGTAAAAGAAGATGATTTCTCTGGTCCTAAACCTTCATCTCATTTCTCAATTAAATTATCTACTTACTCAGAAGAATCAAATAAAAATATACTTATTTGAATAATACAAATTAAAATTATATTTCTGACTCAAGAAATTATAAATGAAAAGATACAAGTATAATATGTCATTATCTCCTTTACTGATATAGCATTATACTAGCATCTCAATAAATATAAGACTAATAATCTTTTAATAATTGGGATAATTTTATTATAGTACTCAGAGAAATATTCTAATTATCATATTATTAGTAAGATCTTCACAAATAACTTCATCTTCTTTATCAAACTGGATTTATATAAAACTATAATATCAAATTCAGAAATATAGTTGGTCAAGTTACAGATATAAATAATCTAAATCAAGTTATATATTTCATGGAAGATTTAAAATTCACCATTAAAATAAAAGTTAATTATCAGGCATCAGAAATTTTAGAAAATGCTTGAAAGTTAGTTATTTACTATAATATAGCAATATATAGATAGCACAAATCTTTAGATCTATCAAGCAGAAATAATAATAGTTATTGCTTTTAGAATTAATATAGAAATCATCAGAATAATAACTCTATATCTATAGAATTAGATCAAGCAGAGAGTTATTATAATAATAGAAAGAATAATAATAATTAAAAAAATAACAAATTCAAAGATATATATTATAATTATGATAAATCAAATTACTTTACCAAAAATTATTATTCTAAATTCAAGACTAAATAAAATAGTAAATATAAAAGATAAATAAAAAGAATTTTCATCATTATATGAAAGAGTTGAGTTTGCTTATTTAGAAGATAATAGAAAAAAACTATTAAAATTCAATAGCCAAGTAAATGACAAATTAATATAGGTATTACTAGATAGTGATGCATCAAGAAACTTTGTTGATGAGAAATTTGTGTAAAAAAATAAAGTAAAATTATAGAAAACTATATTAATTATAATTGAACTTACTAATGTCAAGAAAATAACTATTATTATTATAATAAAGATTGATGAGTTAAAGTTAGATACCTATAAAATATATAAGATAGATATATAGATATTAAAATTGCAAAGATATAATCTTATTCTAGATAAATCTTGATTATTCTATATCAATCTCATCATAGGCTGAAGAAATAATATTATCATCTTTATCTATAAATTAAAAATAATTAAAATACAAGTAGATAATGAAATTAAGTCTAGTTCTAGTTGCAATTCAATTTACATTTCAAGATAGCAAATTATTAATCTGTCAGCAGATGTAGAACTCTTTATTATTATCTTAATAATACTAAAGAAAAAGCAAAAGAAAAGTTACTTTTTTTTACCAGAAGTATTAAATATTAAAAAAAAATATAAAGATGTATTTTCAGAAATCTTATCAAATTAGTTATCATCTAAAAGAGCAATTGATCATAAAATTAATCTTATTTCAGGATCTGAATTATCATCCAGATTCATCTATAGACTTTCTTTTACTAAGATAGATAAGTTCAAGAAATAATTAACTAATTTAATATAAAAAGATTTTATTTACCCTAGTATTTTATTATTTGGAATATTAGTTCTTTTTATATATAAGAAAGAAGATATATTAAGATTAAAAATAGCTTCTCAACTAGTTGTGACTTGCAGCAATTAATCAAAAAATTATAATAGAGTTATAATAGCTAATCAGAAAATTGTAATAAGTTATAATTAGTTATAGTTTCTATTACTAATTAAGATTATATATTAATTATAAAGCTTTGAAGAAAATTATCATTAAGAATTACTATCTACTATTCAAAGTTAATAAGTTGATAAGCAGACTTATAAACTCAAAATATTTTTCAAAATTAGACTTATATTTAGAATATTATCAAATACATATTACAGAAGAAGATATTTATAAGATAATATTTAAAACTCACTATAAATATTATGAGTTTCTAGTCTTATCTTTTGATCTTATTAATATATTAGTCACTTTATGATACTAATAAATAATATATTTCATGATTATCTTGATAAATTTATAATTATTTACTTAGATAATATCTTGATATATAGTAAAATTATAATAAGTTTGATTAGATTATCTTTCTTTAGATCTCTTTTAGTTTAGATCTTTATTTTGTGCTATCTGTATAATAAATTAGCTTTGTATTATATTTTTAAGAAGATCATTTTTATTCTGAATACACAGATGATTATTATGTATTTAATACATCTAAATTTAGTACATTGTTACTCAGATGATCACTATGTATATCACAATTATTAATTTAGATTATTCATATTTTTAATTAATTATTTCTTTATAATTTTATTTATTCTTCTTGTTAT